AGACATGGAAGAAGTTCCGGTGGGCCGACGGCGCCTTCCGCATAATAGCATTGATTCCAGTCCCGTTGCGCTGCCGCGATACACGCAAGGAGCAGGACAGTGAGCCTGACAAGCATTGCGCGTGTTAAACCGCCAGAAGCGAATGATGGCAGCTATGTCGGTGGGATTAATGAAATATCAGACCAAGCTCCCCTCTAAGGGCATGTAGACCGAACGTGAGCAGGGGAGAGTGCGACACTAAGTCTGCGAGAAGGTTTTGCGGGGAAGAGAAGGGGAAGCAACAAAACAAGAAAAAAAGGGGGGATCTTGCGTACAATATAAATGCCTTACCTCACAGTTGGTGTTCGGTTCGCATATTATTCCACAACCAACGACCGACAGGGCTCCCGGTTCGCACTCGAATCCCAAGCCAAGCTGTTGGCTTGCAACACCTAACAGCCAAGTCGCAGCCTGCTTCCAGCCCGTTTCCGGTCTGCCTCCATCCTGCTCTGGAAATACGCCCGGACAGCGCCGAGCTTCCAATCAGGTGTTCGTATATCCGAAATACATTGAACTACCCATGCCCATCTCAGCTGTTGTTGTTGGGGACACTCGACTTGACCCTCGTATGCCGCCCCACACGACTCACCGACCACAGCACATGCAGGCCGCCGTCACGGACATTGATGGGTAATAACTGAAGAACGTACTTGTAGTTGGTGTTCAATGATCTGAAAAATGTCCCCACTATGTTGCTGCTTGCCTATGTCAGCTTAAGACGCCACAATACATTACCCGTCACAACCACCAGTCGGAAGAGGTTCTAGATTTGGACAAGAAACAAGCACAACACCATGGATTCCCATTTGTGAACAAGACCCGATTGGATAACTCGTATTATGCAGGTAGGTGCTTAATGCTAACCGGATCTTGATAGGCTGTTTTGTCTTGTTGCTGTTGGTTGGGCTTGAAGTCAGAAAATGCAGTCTCTGTAGTAAATTGCCGGATGACCCTTAATACTTTCAACTCATGCGTCTCGGCGGCTCATTTCTTGTTGGCTGATCTTCACCAGCACGATGCGATTCTTGTAATTGCCTGAGTCGCAGAAATCGGTCCCCAGAACAAAGCTGATCTTTGATTTATTCGTAAGTCTTCTTCAGCGTCCAATCGTCGGATTCGGGAAGGTTTCGCCTTTATCTTCCTACCTCGACTCATTCCCATCACTCTGGATCAGGAACAATACAAAACAGACATTTGGGAATGTAGGAAACTTTTTGAACTGATGATCATTGCTGCCGGTCTGTTTCGCCGATCTCTTGGTCCCGCACGTTGCGCAGCACTACAGCTGCTCAATTATGGTCAGCGGTGAGGTTATGTTGATCCCGTCAGCCAACGACTACACCGACGCTACTATGAACTGGTATATGGCCGGGCCGTCCATAGTTTCGCAGATGCAGGGAAACATCGAACTACTGGACCTGCTAGAAGATCTACCACAATCCGTGGGGCATACCTGCAGTACAGGCAACTGCAACTTCAGGGCTATGTGTTGTGGTGCGATGACACGTTGACGGCAAACGCAATCGGGACTCTGTGTTGAACAGCTCGACGGCGATGGTGCTGATTTAAGGACTGTGGGTGGGGAAATGGAGGCAAGCTGAAAGGCCTGCAGGCTGCAACGAGCCTACAAGTGATGCAGGCGACCGCAGCTGCGGCCAGAAAGCAGCTGAGATCGCTGAACTTGTTCCATCAGGTTCGCTGAGACGGTTACTTCTTGGGAAATTCGAAGTAACATGGTATTGGGCTTCAACTCTAGACATTGAATCCCGGCGTTCTGGTTACTGAGTGCGATATGAAGTCACGTCTGGGCCGAAGCCGACCGGAGTGGACGGGCATCCGGCCCCACCCGTTGCGCAGAACCTACTACACTACTGAGTTGCAAACCTACACCATTCTCCTTCCGCACGCACCCTGCTTACATGGGCTCTTCGAGGCTCCTTTGCACTCTCATGTTTAACGATGAGATATGCAAGGTCATTAATCTAGAAATGAGCTTTCTCATCGATTCTAAGATCCTCTTCAGACCCATTGCGGTGAGAATCGGCGCTATCCTATCTTCTGCCAGCCCAGCGTAAGGTGGGTCACTGTTTTTTTAGGGGGGGGGTTTGGGGGTTGGCCCTCATTTCCGAGAGGTTTCCGAGTACAGTTCGGATAAAAAGAGGCACTTTCAATGCCCGCATCGCGACGCGTCGCTTCGTGTCCTAAATGACTTTTTTTTTTTTTTTCCCTCCTTCTCTCCTTCACCCCTGTCAGGTGCTTTTGCAACACAAAACATGAACCTCAACCACCCGAGTCCATTTTTATACAGTCATGGAGCTTTCACGTCTGAAAGCTAACGCAAGCTCTGCGTAAGTTTTGTGCACTGTCATTCTGCATCTCTACCGAGTCGAAAGGGCAGATTTTCTAACCCGTCCAGTCCGCGCAGTCCGCTCAGAATAAGACCTCGCCATTCGATCGTCCCTTCGAGTCCATCCCCCGAACCATTATCGCCCGCTCTTTCGACTCCCGTCCACAGAATATCAGCCCTTCGCTTTGGCTGGACTCCGTCGCCGCGGGCCAGTCCTGTCCGTCGTACCTCCAATATCTCCCCAGACCTGTCCATTCTCAGGGCTGCTGTTACGAGTGGCAGTATATACCCCGCAATCCAGTCTCCCCGACCGTTCAAACGCCCGGCTCCTACCCAACTTTCACAAGAGAACGACGAACATGAATCGGAACAACGACCGATCAAAGCTGCCCGATTGGACAAGGGCTCAGACGATGACGTCCACCGTCATCAAGAAGATGTCTCGCGACCTACAAAGCAACAAATCGGCTGTAATGCACCAGAGACAACAATAATTGCGAGCCGCGAGCCGGAAGAGCAAGAGAATAATCACGAGGGGGACGGAGAATATTTTCGGAAGAAGCAAGAAAACGCCACTCAGCTACCATCCCCAAGCGGCCGTTTTCAAGATTTTGAGACGCTTATGGCTAGTAATGGGGAAGAAGAACAGATTCAGCCCGACCAATATCAAACAGATGGTGCGACTTGGCCTCATGGATCCGACCAGGCCCCCCGGGAATCCGAGGTGCTCAATGCCAGCACCAATGGAGGAGATAAGGACGACCAGGACCAAGACCATAGAGACGTCCAGTACCCGGTGGACAAGATTTTGTGCCACCAATTAGTGAGCGGCGTCGTTGAGCTTCTCGTTCAGTGGGGAGGAGAATGGCACACACATCAGCCCACATGGGAAGAAGAATACAGATTATGGGAAACGTGTCGCGAAAAGGTACTGGAATACTGGTGTCCCAGGGGATGGAACTGCAGGACACGACGTCTACAACTCGACCGTTTCAATGGACCATTTACCGTTCATCGCATTGTCAAGGAGCGAAAAGCTCGGCGGCGTGGTGGCTCAAGTGTCTCCCCAACAAAGACCGAATACCTCGTCGACTTCGTCGGCTACGCGAAGCCTGAGTGGCAGCCTGCAGAATGTCTTCCAGCTGCCGTCATTCAGGAATGGAAATCTTCTTTGCCTTGATTCGCAGAGGGTTTGCCGTGTGCCCTGCATCCTCATCGTCTTTGTTGTGGAGTGAAAACAAGAGAGTTCTCTAGCAGTAAGTCCATTTCTTACTCTTCTCAGAGGCTATTAGCCTCATGTTGCAACGCTCTGTGTTGGGGTCTATGGCCTTGGCTACCCGATCGGCAGTCTCGGATCCCATAGGCTTCTTCCGTACCGATGAAAGTCGAACAAGCTGTGCAAGCAAGCGTCGTGCAAACGTACCAGCCCCCGGGTTCGCAAAAGCTGGCTTCACCGCGACGCCATCTTACTGCTTTACGTCCACTATGGTCTTGACCAAAATCAATTTCTTGACGTGTTGCCCCCTGAGTGCGTAAAGAACTGAGGATCAATCTCAAGCTGGCTTCCATGCTCACATCACGTAACGCATACCCTTTCTCGCCTGGCCAGCACGTAGAAGAACCACATCTCCCTCCATGTATCATTGCATTGCGCCTTGTCGAGCCAGAGTTCTTTTCACCGGGGCAACAGCCGCAATGATGTGTCCTACTCGCAATTGTCCACCTGGGCGATTGCGTTAATCGGCAGCACCCCCACCGTCAAAACGGCCATCATCTACAAATTCTCCAAACTTCAGAACATGCGAAGGCCCTCTATGTTCTAGAAGTCCCGTCTTCGCAGACTCTAGATTGGCATTCAAGGGCTTTAGGGTCATAGGGAAAACCTATGAGACCCAACATCTTTGTGCATGGTAGTAGCCTCATCCCCCACCGGGACCCTGAAATCATATCTATTAGCTGTAGAAGTACTTAAATGTCTTTCAAGATCAAGCAACACCTCCATGGTTACCACCAGTGATTGATGGTCCATCACATGCATGCTCGAAGAAGACGTCGACCCCTGTCCCGTTGGTACCCATAAAGTGTCCTCAGCAGGCCGTGAAAAGATGTACGCCTGCTTCACGATGGCGCCCTCTTGCTCTTCGGGGTTGTCGTCCAGCAAATTAACGCCAACTTGCGAAGAGCCGAGGCCCACGTCCACCGCCCATATTCAGAGGACTTAAGTGCCCGCTTTTACTTTGTGAAATATGCTAAATAAACTCAGCTCAAACATCAAATGCCAAAAGCAACGAAGGAAGCAGCTCTGTCATGATCATCGGTTCAAGCCAACACCCTTTCATGAACAAACAATTTGTATAACCTGAACTACCAAGCCCTGAATTTGTCATTTCAATCCCATCATTAAAGACATACAATCATCATCATCTGAGAAAAGATCCACACTACAACAAGGCAAAACTCTCAGCCTGGCAAATTATTCCGAGCAGAACTCACCGTCATCCAAACAACCGCGAGAAACAACCAATCCTACATCATCAAAACAGTCCAAATACGCCTCCGCTGTGCTATACCATGAAACGGAAATAGTTGTAAACAAACATCCTCATCGGCTGCGTCAAACCTCCTGAGGCTTATCGACACAAGCCTGCTTGGCCCGTCTCTCAACCGACACGAAGCTAGCTGTGACCTTTGTTAAGGAAGGCTTCTCCTCGGTGCCCTCACGGTTGGGACCCCCGGCAATGAGTTCCATCTTCTCGCGGAACGAATCATCATAGTGCGAGAAGACAGACGAAGTGCGGTGGGAATCAAGCGACGATCTCGCCGTGGCCATGCCGTACGAAGAGAAAGTCGTGTCCGCGACCGAAGATGTGCGGCTCCGCGTCGAGTTTGAACGCGTCATGGGCGCCAGCTGCGTCTGCATCTGTTTGCTCTCGAATCTGGCGAGTTTGTCCGCCACACCGCCCTGCATCGTCTTGAGAACAGGGAGATCGCTGTTGATGGTCGGGCGGTTTTTCCTACCCTCCTCGAGCTCCTTGATCCAGCCGAGCCGATCTGCAGGAAGACGGGACGAGGCGCGGCGGGATGGGATGCCGCCATTGCGATATGGGGCTGAGGCAGAGGGGGGCAGGGAAGGGCAGGGGGATGGTTGCCAGGATCTTCGACGGTCTGAGGTGACTGGTTCTGTGGGCTCCTTGTTCGTGGCTGGGTTTGAGGAGGGCAGTGAAGTTGGTGTCGAATGGCGCTTTTCCGCACGATTCTGCTCAGCAACAACAGCAGCATTCTGGCGGGGTCTGGCGGTGGATTCTGGGGTGGCAGCTGGGGCTGGCCTTGAGGAGGCAAATACGGCGCGTCGAGGCTCGCGGAACTGGGTTTTGCTTTGGTTTGATGAGATCGTGCTTTGAGTACCAGTGGGCGCCGCTGCCGGAGGCGGCCAGGGCCTCGAAGAATGCGGTTGAGCATGGCTGGAGTTGACAATTGTCACAATGGAAGCCGAGTTCGATGAGGGCGCCGCTAGTGATGGGGCATGGCCTGGGCGACGTTTTTCCGAGGGGACTCCCGTTGGCTTGGTTTCTGATGCTGCGAGGAGTGACGGTGAAGACTTGTTGAGCGAAGGGTTGACCGTTACAGGCTCAATGGTCGTGGTTCTCTTGGCGAACATGTCGGCGATAGGGGTTGTCGATGATTTCGATTGAGGGGGCTTCTCATCCTCAGCTTCCTGCCCCTTCTTCTCCGGCGCAATGCGAAAGGCCTCGAGGGACTGCAAGTCGATGTCAAGACACGATGTCCCGAAGTCCTGCACCTGAACACGAGGGAAAGCCTTCTGGCTTTCGTCAAGAGACGGCCTCTCTCGCTCACCAAGCATCGACAGTGTCGTCTTCTTTGCCAGTCCGCGGCCACGGCGGACGAAGCCCGACAGCTTCTCCCTGACAGAAGGAAGCCGTCGCGGGGCTGCCCAGTCGCCGCTATTTCGTTTGCTCGACATTGTTGATCCTCTGCTTGAGATTCTTCTTGGTGGTGAATGTTCATAGCCCAATCCTCAGATTCACGTCCAAAAGAAGGGGACACGGTTGGTGGAGCATCACGTGAATGTAAACAAGATTGGATTGGCCCGGAGATGGGGGTTCGCATTGACGCAGGGGCCGTCATTACCACTCTAATTAGTTTCACGGCAACGGGAGCTGCCCCTGACCAGGATTTGGGGGCCAGGAATGTGTCAATTGGGGTTCGTCGGGTATGACCGAGTGCTGAGAGAAATGTTCCGGAAGGAATTTGATGATGGAGGTGGGTTTTGGGATGACGATCAACAGGGAACGCAGCCAGACGTGTTTTTGGGGGGAAATCGACGCCATGGTTGACTCGATGAGACCGCTAGATGGAGATCGTTTGCGGGCACTAAAATATGTGCTGTGTTGGTTTGCACTTGGGCTGTACGTAATCAGTTTGAGACGCGTGTATCACGTGCCTCAATACGTACGCTTACTCATTCTCGAAACTCATTTTCAGTCTCATAATCATTGTGCTCGTTGATGACATCCAATGGGCTTATGGCGAATGCTGAAGATAAAAGTAAGTAAGTGATAGGACATTCTGATTATTGGTATGAAATGAGATTGAGGAGTGGCGTCCATGTCCGTGTTCGAGTGATATAAAGAAGCTTGAGTGAGACGGTAATGATGAGATCCAAAAGTGAGATGACAGCCAGCATAAGAATCCGGGGCCGATTCCCCCCACAGTCTCGGTCGAACCATAACTAGAACGCAAGAGCTTCAAGCATATCCATTTCAAGATCGTTCAGCTGTCACTGCTGCTAATAGCCAACAGGCCTGACGCAGTCCTCGATTGAACCCACTTGATCGGCTCCGGGAACCTGCTCAAAATTCAGAGTTCAAGAAAAAGTGACCACTTAAATGACAGTATTACGGGCAAATTTTCTATCACTTACGTCCCAAACGATAGAGAAGGGGTCCCAGTCGGGATCAGTGCCAGTTTCTTCTTCACCGATGAGGTGTTTAAGAAATGCGTATGTCATGGCCATACCTGAAGTGTACAGGTCAGCACATGGCCGTTGAAAAAGCGGAATTGTAAACACCAACGAACCGGCAGAAATGCCTGAACTCGTCCAAATCTTTCCGTCTCGTGTCCAACGTGCTGTGGGGATCCACGACACATTTTTGCCGAATTTAACGACTGAATTCCAGGAGGATTTATTCGTCGTTGCACGGCGACCCTCAAGCACACCTGACAATGCCAAATGCTTCGCGCCAGTACAGACGCTCAATATGAAGGCCACTTCTTGAAATCGCGACGCGACAAAGTTAGCGATGGCAGTATCATTGTTGTTTGTCAGTGCTCGATTTCCAATACCTCCTGACAGAAGAAGGATGTCCAATCGGGGGGCATTGCTAAAGTTATGCGTTGCTATGATATGCGCTTCTAAAGGGGGTAGATTTGTGTCAGAGTCTGGGCTTTGGGTCGAGACCGGCCCTATCTTATGCGAGATGATCGATAAGGTGATCCTCTTCGGCTGTGAGATCTGGACAATTGAGTGAATTAATTAAGGACGAAAAACTTCTTCGAATGATTGGAGTAGTTACGCCGTAGAAGATGTCGAGGGGGCCCTAAACATCGAGAGGTTGGTAGTCTGGGAAAACAACCTAGCGTTCATCAGCGCAGAAGCACCCTACAGGATTCTATGGTGTTACTATTCCAAGCGAAAGTACTGCATCATCAGTAGGATCTCGAAACTTCGTCGACTTTATGTTATCAGTACCAGCCCATGAGCACGGGTAGATGAGGCTCAATGTCACGAGCAATAGTTGGACAGTAAAGCCGCCGAGTTGTTTCTTGGTAAATATCATAGTGCGCTGAAATTGTTTGCGGTAACTATGAATGATTCTTAGAGATATTCCAAAGCAACAGGACTGGGTTTCTTTTCCACTTATACTTTTCCAAACAACAAAAGAAAAGGAAGAAAATTCCGAGACTCCCAACGCCCAACCACCAGAACCCTTCTGCCAAGACCCAACGAGACCTTGTTTGCCTTGATTAGTGATATTATCGTCTTGTGACTGCAAGCCTCTTTACGGTATAAAAACGTCTTTTGCGTAGTATTGGGTCGATCCACGGCCAAGAGGCGTTCAGGCTGGAAAATGTCTGAGACTGCAATGATGATCACAAGCGGGCAGTTTAGCCATGCCTGCGCCCATTGGTTAACCGGAGACCTTTAAGTGCAGCGAAGCGTTTTACGCTATCGCGTCAGATGTTGTGTAACATGTTGTGTTCTCGGTGGCTGAGAGTCGGTGAGACGGCAGCGATTCTTACTTGTTCTGCACGAAGTATCGGTCGCCATTGTGGACGTACCATGAGACTTTCCTTCTAGAATCAACTAATTCCATTCCAAGACGATGCTTCGCCAGAATGAAGATAACTAGGTCACGAAGTCGGCGCCAAAAGCATGCATACTCTCTTTGCCTTTCCGCGCATAAGGACTGCCAACGTCTTCGTTGATGGAAGCCAACGCTGGAATGGATGGAGGTTTACAAATTGTTCTAGAAGAGAAACATGACAAAGAATGGCTCGAACCGAGCCAAAAAGGATCTAACTGAAAGAGAGTTCCTTCTGAGCAGAGGCTGTCTCATATATAGCAATACAATGCAGAGAACATATGCATGTCCTCTGGGAACAACCATATTAGATATTCAATCCAGCAAGTACGAACATAGACATGCAAATGCTTATACCAACTGTCCACACCTTGAAACGAAGTGGTGCTTGACCTATCGCAAGTTTTTCTGTTTCTTGATACCAGATGTAAACATACGTGTACAACACACGGCTTACCAACCACCCTATCGAAAGGAAGTTCATGGTTGCAGCTGACACGCCTGCTGAATTGCCTGCTGTGACTGCAGCTGCGAATACGGGAAGGGCCTCAAAACCGTTTGCTGAACATGCTTCTGCTCGAAGTAGACGACCGCGAACCTAGCTCTACGTTAGTTCTGTTGTGTATTTGGAAGAGTTAAAGGTCTGAGAACTTTGTCATCTAGATCGGCATTTTTCAGCGATTCCGGAAACCCTCGGGGGTTTTTTCGATCAAAAAGCTTCTTCCCAGGGCCCTGAAGCGCTGAGTAGTACCGCGCGCCAAGTGCGAGTACGAGCGCAGCCGGTATCTAAGTGGTACAGGTCAGTGTGAATTATGTGAGAACATGTAGTGGAAACTCACGACGAAGTATGATATGTTTCTGTCAAAGCTCATATGCACTGGAACCCCCATGACTGAACTCGATTCGACCTCAAAGCTAGTGGATAGGCGGAGAAGGAAGAAGGAAAAGTGTGACGATCGCGTGCTTTGAAAGAGAGAAGGCTTGGGCTGAGTTTAGGGGGGTTATGTAGAATTGTAGATGCCAAGACCTGGTGGACATTCGTTAGGCCACAGCATCCGCGCGTGTGTCCAAATCGAATGGCCAATGTTGATTGCAAATCATCAATATGTCCACTTGACGGTTGTGGCGCTTACAAATCGTGATCCCAATTCGAGAAGCGTGGTTCGCTTCCACAGATTTGATCCCGGCCACGAGTGCCTGGACTATCGCTCAAGAAGGCAAAGTGCGCAGCGGAGGATTTAGGATTAAATCCCTTTCGATACACAATCCAGCTTTCTTAGACACTGATTAACCTTCTGCCAACAGCATACGTTGAGCGGCAGCGCGAGTCTTCCGGCAACAGCAAAGTGTGATGATTGGCTTGCTGAATGGAAAGGATTCACATGAAGGATTCACGCTTGGCCGTTTTCGATTCTACGAAGTCGATCACCACCTTTTTATTGTTGCCTGAGATGCGAGTGGATTCAGTTAGTACTTCGACATCGTAAGCCTCAGAAGGTTTCCCCATCATTTACAATAACAGATTTTCTTTTCTATATCCTGCTAGAAATATTCATCGTATGTTTTAAAACCTCGCGGAAAACAAATACATAACCCGTTCTGAAATCAGCTGTGACGACATTTCGTTTCTCCATGCCAATAAAACGCGGCTGGCAGAAACAGAGGGTGACTCAAGACGTGGGTCATAATACCAAGAACCCAGCATCAGAGCCTCACAGCAGCATGACGACCTGTTGGTTAAGACTGAGTATAACCCGACCGCAAAATAACGCGAGTCGATGTGTCGATGCTGGACTCGGGTGCGGCCGCTCCAGCTCTGGCTCAATCTCCTCGGAAAATGCAGATGACCTAGACTCATCACGCTATTTCTCAGTAGCCAGCTTAAGAACATAAGTGTCGGCATCGATTGGGAAGTCCATTAGAAGGTAGCACAAGAGTGTAGGTGGAAGAAAACACTTCCCGATGTGCTCTTTGTTATCAAAGTCGGAGTTTGGGGTTTTAACGATGAACGTTCAGACCATGTGTCAATCCTCCTGTCGACAACACCACAACGCAGGCAGCCTGCAGCTCAAATGCTGACATAGCTCGTTGTGAAGGCGCAAATTGGCACAATGAAGCTTCTTATGGCCGGGATGAGATACTGCTGTTTTCAGAAAGTAGGGGTTCAACATATGCTCGTGTTCAGAGATACCCCCAGCATCAGTTTTGCTCAGCTGCCCTTAATGTGCTCCCTTCATTCGAAGTAACTCAATCTTTGGCTCACATTCGCCCTGAACTTGCATGCAACGTATCTGAAGGGTCGCAACTCACAAACTACGAGGTAGATTCTCTGTAATAAGACCCGATAACCGCGAGCCAAGTATGTATGAAGTATGTATCGAGCCACCAGGCATCCGCCATAGGTGGTTCGACCTCGAGGAGTCGAATCCTCTGCAGAACAAAACAAGGATTTCAACTTCCATACTTGAAAGCACTCTCAATTGTTTTGGATGATGACGATGATTTACTTCAGCTCCAGTCAGCGGATGCATGCTGTCTGATACTGGCGCCGTTTGACTGAAGTTAGCATCGACGTTTACCAGCGGGGAAAAGAGAACATTGGAGGATACTGGCGGCGTCATCCAGGACCAGAAGCAATCTTGACAAATTATTTTCAGGAGGTCAGGCTGAGTTTCGAATATCGAGAGACCATCAGCTCTTGCTTTGAGCACAGCTTTGTCCTCCAGCTGACCATCTCGAGTAGCCTTACGCATCACATTTGAACTTGGTAAGAGAGCTGGGGCTGGGACGCAAGAGAAGGTGTGATGAATTCGACTTCATTGCTGCCTGTTTAGGTTTCTTATCTAAGTCCACCTGCCGTCCAGTCTGCGTTGGTTGCATGTCGGGACGCAAAAGCCTCACGCTCTTTGGCTCAACATCGCTGTCACGTGGGCGACGAGATCATGGAACATGATTGGAACAAGGTCTTACTTGGTAGTCGTAGGTAAATAGCGGCGTTGCGGCGGACCTGCATGCTGCCTGATGATTATTTCAGCCTTGCATGTCGAAACTCGAGGGCTATGAACTATCTATTGGCGCAACACCTTGTGGGGTGTGCGGAGTGCAAATTCAAGTAGGCATCGTCCTGCCTGCGCGTTGATCCGAGCGGTTCCGGACATGATCGTCACCAGTCGGATTGCCACCAGACCGAGCTGCTTTCAATCTTGTCTGGCCCTGGCAAGGCAGAGACAACCGTTTCACATCGTTTCGATTTACATGTACCATCAGGACTTCGCTTCATTCAACCTTATTCAGATTGTGTATGATGCCCGTTGGACAATGAAACAGATTGTACACGATGTCCAAGATGCCCCCAGAGACGCATGAAGGCGTCAGGTAAAGATTTCTCGCGGCCTTCCACGACGGCACTGTCGGAGGTATCGCCGGCGAAGTTGGAAAAGAGACCACAATGGCAAGTCGGCCCTTGCTGGGTAGGGCGTGTCAAACGCCGCATGATCGGACGGTGCAGCGGCCCCATTGGGAATGCATTCGGTGCCTAAGAAAGTTCCCCTCGCCAGATATCAGATCAGCGCGGTAATCAAAACGAGTTTTAGGTCTCCCGTCGGAGAGCTGATCTCGCATGATCTCAGGAGCACGCGATAAGCGATTGATGCTGGGGAATGGTTCAATGCTTGCGGGAGAGCTTGTGGGGGCGTCGTGATTCTTGCACTCCGAGGATGCAAAACGAATCGAAAAAACTGCAATCAGTCGGTGATTGGATGTTGCCACAAAGCAAACGTTCCTTTGGGAATATTAGTATCTAAACGGTTGATAACTAGCATGATGGGGTTTCGGAGCGGGAATGAATTGACCTCCAGCGTAGCATCGAATGCTTGCGCCACACCGTTCAGACAAGCAGCATCTGCGAAGCGTAGCCGGAGCTGGACCAAAGGGAGCATGACGAGGCTGTTGCAACGCAGAGGCGCCTCAGGAGAACGGGCGGCGGGTGAGAGGGGAGGAGAAAGATCCCAGTGTGCTTGAACATCTGGCCTCTAAATCAGACAGGGGATCGAGGACGACGCGGCGAGTTCAGTTCCCTCGACAGTGTCTCTGCATTCGTCGAGCTCCCGTCATTAGAAATCGCGTCACGAGCAGCCTCTTGTAGTTCCCTTGTCTTCTGCTGTTTCCGCAGCTTCCCTGAATCGGCCCAGGTAATCTTGGTGTGCCCGCTTCCCTCCTCTTCACCTGCGCCCGCTCCATCGTCTTCCTCGGGGTAGAGCTCCTCGACAATGGTTTTCTGTGGCGCCCTGCCAACGATCGGCCTCGTTACACGTTTCGATGGTGGTGTCGTCCTCTCGTGGTCAACGCGATAGGGCGCGTATTCACGCTTGGCGGGTTGCGCCGGGGAAATGTGTCGGAGAGCCGCTGCGCGTTCACGGAAGTTGATGAAGTTCTCTTCATTGAGGCCAAGAATCCTCTCCAGGGCCTCGACGGCGCGGTCGGGATGTTTGTAGACAGCGTCCTCGAGGGTCAACGCAGGTGGGGGTCTCCTCGCGTGGTCTGAATCGGCGTCGACTTCTGAATCGGAGTCGGAATCGTATGCGTTGTAGTCGTAATCATCTTGTCCTTCGAGTTCCCATGCAGCGTATTCGACGTCGTAGAACTTGACGAGGCTGGCGAGCATATCCTTTCTTCGCCGCGCGGTAGTCTCGCTGCAACCAGAGAGGCGTCGCAGGGCGTAGAGTTGCTTGGCGTGGCGGGGGAAGATGTTCCTCGGAGGGAAGTCGATTCCGAGGTCTTCGTCCCATCGGGGGACGGGGATTATGGGAAGAGTTGGGTTTTGGAGGTTATTGTTTCGAGTGTAGGCATCCAGTCGCTTGACTTCGAGAGTAAGCGACGTGACGGTGCTCGTTAGCGAAGTGACTGTTGTGCGAATAGAGCGGAACTCGTCGTTCAGCTGCTTGTCCTGCTTGTTTCGGGCGTCGACAAACTCGTTTCGCGTTAAAGGAAGGGCGGGATTCGGAGACCTCATGGTCGTGAGGGTATATGTCGCCATGGAGGTGGTATGGGTGGTGATGAGTCGAAGTACGTTTGATGGAGTTGCGGAAGATTAAAGTCGTACTAGTCACCGAGAGGGACCTGGGACCGGACCTGAGGTTGGGGCGGCACGATTTCATTGGATGAGATTCGTCTGGGATGTTTATTTCCCATTGGACAAGGTCACGTGATAATAAGGATCCAGCCAAGTGGAGCACCCCTGATCCGGGTGGACTCCACTAGACCCGACGATCCGCAACGAATGTGGGGCGCTACGTCGATTTTCCCCGGCTCTCTAAACCTTACTGTTTAACGCATCGTTTCCACTGTCAAGCTGGTATATAGCTCTTATATATTACCTTTCCTATATTAGCGCTATTATTTAATAATAAGGATTAATTTAAGCCTAATTATACCTAGTATATCTAAAACTACTAACTTTATATCTAATACGTCTAGATCCTAACTAGTACCTCTATATACTATCCTATTATTACTAGGGTATTAAATAGACTAAGCTTAGAGTTATTATATAGCTTATTATATTATAATATATAGAGTATTATTAGTAGCTCTTTTTCTATTTTAATTACTACTTAAGCTATATATTAATCTTAATACCTTTATAGCGTTATATAAGTAATATAATACTTCTAAATTATTTATTCTTTTAATAGAATAGTATTTATTATAATATTCTTAATATAATATATCTTTAGATACTTTTTAATATACTTTAAGTAAGAGGGGTAATTATTCTTAATAATATTTAGGGGTTAAAGCTAATAGTTAGAGTTAGTAATTATATTAATAAGGATATTAATATTAGCTAGTATAAAGCTAAGGATATAAGAGAAAGATACTTTAAATAAATAAAATAGGGGATAAAAGGATAAGAGTTATAATATAGTCTTAAAAGGGATAATCTCTTATAGATTAGTATTTCTTATTAAGGTCTTACCCCCTCTAACCTTAAGAGTAAGGCTATTTATAAGTATACTACTATATATACTATAAAGCTTATTAGGATAGAGTTTTATTCTTTTAGAATATTAAATATTAAATATATACTTATTAGGTATATGTTACAGCCAGCTAACTGACAGTGGGTTTATGTTAGCAGTAAGTTAGGGATTAAAAACTATAAACAGTATTAAGTCGTTCTATAGGGCTATTTAAGTAATCATAGGTCTTTAAAGGTCTTAGTAATCAGTTAAGGCCTTAACAAAAGTCATAGGGTAGTCATCACTTAGGTATAGCTAAAAGTACCAGTAAGAGTAGTCACAAAGTTGATTGCTAAAGAGCTATAGAAGTCTATCCTTAAGCTAGGCTCAAGTCCATCCTATATATAAGTCCCAAATAGTTCCTTTAACGTTAGATAGCTAGGATAGCTCATATCCAACATATCCATAGATAGCTGGGATAGCTCATATCCAACATATCCATAGATAGCTGGGATAGCTCATATCCAATATATCCATCTTTATCCTATATCCATACTATTCCTAAGGTCACGTGACCTATACCATAGTTCTTCCTTTCTAAGGATTCCTAGTTACACCTATGTCACTACTTACATATATCCTGCATTAGCCGCCAAGATCCCAAGCGGGGTTGTTCCAACGCGTTATACCTAACAGGTCGTAACATCAGGTCTCCTCTCCAAGGGTCTTATCCCTAAGACCAACATAAATAGGTTTCCTACCCTCAGGTAGGAGGGTATCCTATTCTGCTTCCTTCAATAATGCTCACACCATATCAGGTCGCGTCAAAAAACAAAAGGCTACGTCGTCGCCTAATAGTCGCCCTACCAAAAAGACAGTTGAAAAGAATTCTTTACTTTCCACCATTCTCCAAAATTCAACCGTCATACCCACGTGTTCCTATTGCGAAGGGAAGGGCTACGCCAGCTGTGAAGTCTCACCGTCCAATTCTTCCCATTGTGCTGAATATGTCCATTTAGGCCGTTCTCGCTGCAACGTTCTAGGTATAGGAGCTGCCAAGCTTCAGAACATTACCACTCAGCATCAGAAGTTAGAGGATAAGTTACAGGCTATAGAGGAGAAGGTACTACGTCTTCAAAAACAAAAGAAGATATAGTTCGAGAAGATAATACGTACAGTACGTCACGATATCAATAGTGTGGAGGAGTTAGAGCGGGTGGAAAAGGAGGAGGCAGAGGCGGAACAGCATCAGCGAGAGGAGGCTCGTCCCCCTTCTGCTAGTTCCAACCATCTTCCTTCAGAATTTATCAGAGATTGGGATACAGTCTATCCCAATGTGGCCTTATCCCCTTCCTTATTGGCTGAGTTCGGCCTACTGGATTCAGCTCCAGCTGCTGGGAGGCGTGGTACTCCTGAAGCGTCTGTTGGGAGTTCTAGAGGTTCTTGATGGGTTCCCATGAGTTATCTTTATATCTATATCCTTTCTATTTAATAAGATATTCTATATTTCCATTATTATTACGGTAGTCAATAATTCATTCAACTTCATATTCTAGTTCAAGTGGTTCCATAATAATACAATCTTTAGTATGTGAACCTTATAGTGCTTTTTTGAGAAGTAAAATATAAAAGACTAGATAGCACTTTATGGTGTCTAGTAGTATGAGTTTAAAGTTAATATTAAATACCTTCTATATAATTTCAAAAGGTCTAAGTTTCTTAAAGTCTAACTTATTACTTAGTCGTTTTATCTTAATATTTCAGTAGAGAAGGTATATACTATCTCCCTCCTATAGAGTTAGTCCCTTAACTCTTGAGGTGTTAGCGTATTTACATATTTATTTGCACATAAATTCAAGTTCTCTAGGTAGCTCTTACTAGATTTCCTTGAGTTTATTGATATCTACTATAGCTTTTAGAGCTGCTAGGCCTTATTGTGGTTCTCTATAGACTATTGGGTTAAATCCATAGTTTAGATAGAATAGGGATTCTTTTGTACTTTCTCCTACTACGCTATTATAGGCGAACTAGGCTATAGGTAGCAATTATACCTAGTTGTCTTACTAGTAGTTAATATAGCAGTATAGATAGGTTTCTATAATCTAATTAATTTGTTCTATCTAGCTATTAGTTTATAGATAAAAAGCAGTAGACATTTTATAATTAGATCTAAGCTGCAAGATCAGGGATCTCTAAAACTTAGAAGTAAACAACTTATCTCTATTAGATATAATTTCCTTTAGCGTTCCGTGTTAGTTAATAATTATCTATAGAAACTTATAGGTAAGGTCTTCTATAGTGCTAGACTCTATATATAGAATAAAGTATAAATACTTTATAAGTCTATTAATAATAACTAGGATACTATTATAGTGGACCTTAGTTATTAGTTCTTAGGACTTAGGTAACTTAGTAATAAAGTCTAATAAGATAGATTCCCATACGGTTTATAGCACTAGGAGCAGCTATATCTTACTATAAGGCTAATATCAGCTGGGTTTGCTTTTCGCGCAGACCTTATAGTCCCTAATCGCTAAAGATACTTCTTATTATATAGCCGTTTTATTATAATATTATCTAATATGTTTCTATATCTTGGTTACGCCTTGGTAGCCATATGTAGGTGCAGAGTATACCTCCCTAATGGCTTCAGGAGACATTCTTCTAGTCGTGCTAGTACTATCTCTTCTGGCCATCATCAAGAGTCTGACTGCTGGCATAAGGTCTCCTTCCTTATCCTTTTTGAGGATAACTTGGGTTTCCTTAGGTACCTAGACTTTGTGGTCCAGTCTCCTACTAAGAGCGTCTGCTCTTCTATTTTCTTTACCTTTCTAGTAGATAATTTTGAAGTTAAATTCTAAGAGGAATTTAGACTATCTAATCTATTATTTATTAAGTTCTTTTAATATAGTAAAGTAGGTAAGATTCTTATAATTAGTATAGACCTTAACTTTATACTTTATTCCTAATAGTTAAGGTCTCTATTCCTTGAATGCTTTAATGATTGCTATGAGTTCCTTATTGTGAATTTGGTAGTTGAGTTCTGGGCTGTATAGCTTATATGAGAAGAAGGCGTATAAGTATAGCTATCCTTTGTCGTCTCATTGGCCTAGCTGTCCTCCTATAGCGTAGTCTAAGGAGTTAGTCTCAACTTTAAATGGTTTCTTAGGATTAGGTATAATAAGTATAGGTTCTAATATAACCTATTGCTTAATCTTATTAAAGGCTTATTCTTATTTGTCTTCCTATTACTAGGGGACGTCTTTCTTTAAGAGTCTTATAAGAGGGTCGTTCTTATCTAAATATCCTTCTAGAAATTATTAATAATAGTTTATATATCTAATAAAGGATTATATATCTTTAACGTTCTATAGCGTTAGTTAGTCTTATACTACTGTAATTTTATCTTTTGACATTTTGAGGATTCTAGGGGCTATAGTAAAGCCTAGGAATTCAACTTCTTACGCGTGGAATTTGCTCTTTTCTAGTTCCACTAGGAGTTTAGCTTCTTATAGTTTCCATAGCACTTAGTGTACGTGCTTCTTATGGTCTTCTAGTGTTTTAGAGAAGATCAATATATTATTAAGATAAACTATAATAAATATATCTAGGTATTCTTATAAGATATAATTAATTATTATCTAAAATATTATAGGTATATTAATAAGTCTAAAGGGCATTACTAAGTACTTATAATATCTATAGCGCATTTAAAACGCTATTTTCTATTCTTTACCTGATTTTATATATATTAGGTTATAGGCTCCTTTTAAGTTGAGTGCTATAAACCACTAGGCTCTATATAGTAGATCTTAGAGCTCTAAGATGAGTAGTAGTGGGTAGTAGTTCTTAATTGTGATATTATTAAGTTTTTAGTAATTAATATAGAGTTATAGTTTGCCGTTTTTCTTAGGTATAAATAGGATTAGATATCCTACTGGTAACGTAGAGGGTCTAATATATCCCTTCTATAGGTTTTCTTTAAGGTAAGCGTTAAGCGCTTCTATTTCCTTCTAATTAAGTCTATAGATTACTTCCAACTTAGGCTCCTTCCCTTCTCTTAGGGGTATCTTAT